CCCCAAAACCCCAAAACCCCAAAACCCCAAAACCCCTGACGTTGATAGTTAAGATATGATGATGATATTATCTTTTTATAAATAATTCTATATCTTTAATTAAGAATCACAAATGGAAAAAGCAAATCCCTTCGAAAGCGTCGTAAAAGAACTAGAAGTAGACGGACAAACCTACAAATACTTCTCTCTACTCGCTCTCAACGATGAGAGAGTCTAAAAGCTTCCTTTCTCAATCAGAGTTTTACTTGAAAGTGCCTTGAGAAACTGTGATGAGTTCAACGTTAAATGTATATCTTTATTTTATTTACGTGTATGTAGCATCTGACATTGAGACCATCTTGAATTGGACTGAGAGTTCAGAGAAAGACCTTGAAATCCCATTCAAACCAGCTAGAGTTCTCCTCCAAGATTTCACGTATGATTACTTTGGAAGATTAAAACATTTAGTGGAGTACCAGCTGTTGTTGATTTGGCAGCTATGAGAGACGCTATGACCAGATTAGGTGGAGATCCAGAAAAAATTAACCCCCTCTGCCCAGCAGACTTGGTTATTGATCACTCTGTTCAAGTAGATGTCGCTAGAACCTCTGATGCTAGAGAGAGAAACGAGGAACTTGAATTCCAAAGAAACCAAGAGAGATTTTCATTCTTGAAGTGGGGTCAAAGTGCCTTCAATAACTTTTTAATCGTTCCTCCAGGCTCAGGAATCGTGCATTAGGTCAATCTTGAGTATTTGGCCAGAGTCGTATTTAGAGGTGAGAACGGAGTTCTTTACCCAGATTCAGTAGTCGGAACTGATTCCCACACCACTATGATCAATGGACTCGGAGTTGTCGGATGGGGTGTTGGAGGTATCGAGGCTGAAGCAGTTATGCTTGGTCAAACTATTTCCATGGTCCTTCCTAAGGTTGTTGGTTTTAGACTAACTGGATCTGTTCCTCCTGAAACAACTGCTACTGATGTGGTTCTCACTATTACTTAAATGCTTAGAAAGAGAGGTGTTGTCGGGTAATTCGTTGAGTTCTTCGGACCAGGTTGCTAGTCACTTACACTTGCTGACAGAGCTACAGTCGCAAACATGTCTCCAGAGTATGGTGCCACTATGGGTTATTTCCCAATCGATGATTAAACCATTGATTATCTTAAATCAACCGGAAGAAATTCACACAATGTGTAATTCATTGAGCAATATCTTAAATCACAAGGGCTTTACAGAGTTTATGATGGCTCTCAACCAGATCCAAATTACTCAGGTGCTGTCATGGAGTTAGATCTCTCAACAGTTAGACCATGTCTAGCAGGACCAAAGAGACCTCATGACAGAGTTGAACTTACTCACATGAAGAAGGATTTCAATTCTTGTCTCCAAAACCCAGTAGGATTTAAAGGATACGCTATCTCAGAAGATAAGAGAGCAAGTACCTCAAAATTCAACTTTGAAGGCCAAGAATACGAGCTTTCTCAAGGTTCTGTAGTCATTGCTGCTATCACTTCATGCACTAATACTTCTAATCCAGACGTTATGCTAGCTGCTGGTCTCCTAGCCAAGAATGCTGTTGCTAAGGGTCTTTCAGTCAAGCCATACATCAAAACTTCTCTTTCACCTGGTAGTGGAGTCGTTACTAGATATTTTGAACTTGCTGGAGTTACTGATTATCTAAATCAACTTGGATTCACTCTTTCCGGTTATGGTTGTATGACTTGCATTGGTAACAGTGGAGAACTTCATGAAACTGTAAGCGAAGCTATTACCAAGGAAGATTTAGTTGTTGCTAGTGTATTATCTGGTAACAGAAACTTTGAGGGCAGAGTTCACCCTCTCACCAGAGCTAACTACCTAGCCAGTCCACCACTTGTAGTTGCTTATGCATTAGCTGGTACAGTTAACATTGATTTTGAAACTGAACCAATCGGTCAAGATCAGGATGGAAATAGCGTCTTCCTTAGAGACATCTGGCCATCAAGAGATGAGGTTCAAAAAGTAACCTAATCTGTCATTAAACCAGAAATGTTCAAGGAGATCTATGATTTAATTGCAAAGGGAACTGACAGATGGAATGCACTTGATGCTCCACAAGGTAAACTTTACCAATGGGATGAAAAATCTACCTACATCCATGATCCCCCCTTCTTTAAGGGTATGACTAAGGAAGTCTAAGACAGAGAGCCAATATAGAATGCATACGTACTTGCTTACTTCGGAGATTCAATCACCACCGATCACATTTCCCCAGCAGGTAATATCTCAAAGACTTCACCAGCAGCTAAATATCTTATTTCTAAGGGTGTTGAAGCAAAAGATTTCAATTCATATGGTGCTAGAAGAGGAAATGACGAAATTATGGCTAGAGGTACTTTTGCTAATGTAAGACTTGTAAACAAACTTGTTGAGAAACCAGGCCCTAAGACCGTCCATATTCCATCAGGAGAAGTTCTTGAAATCTTTGATGCAAGTGCCAGGTATATTCAAGATGCTCAACAATTAGTTATTCTTGCTGGACAAGAATATGGTTCAGGCTCTTCAAGAGATTGGGCTGCTAAGGGACCATTCCTTCAAGGAGTAAAAGCTGTTATTGCTGAGAGCTTTGAAAGAATCCACAGATCTAATCTTATTGGTATGGGAATCTTACCTCTTCAATTCAACCCCGGCTAAAATGGTGAGTCAGTAGGACTTAAGGGAACAGAATAAATCTCCATCGAATTACCAGAGAGTTATGAAGTTGGTCAACAGGTTACTGTAACTACTTCAACTGGCCTAAACTTCCAGACTGTACTCAGATTAGATACCCAACCAGAAATTACCTACTATAAGAATGGTGGTATTCTCCCATACGTCCTTAGAAAACTTCTACAATGAGTTATCTAAATAGAGAAAATAACATCTTAAGCAACAATTATCATATTTTACGCTTCAACTTTAAAAAAAACTCTTTTTTGCCGTTTGGGGTTTTGGGGTTTTGGGG